AATTTTACCTTTTAGATAAAGAGGATGTTTTACCCCGTAGGTAGGTTTGACTTCAAATGGTTTGTCGGTTTTTGATTTGTCGTTAATTTTTAGATATTCAGATTACGGATTTACATAATGTCAATTCTTGTATTATTCATAGGTGCACGCGGACAAGTATGACAAGTGTGGTCATGGAAATGAGAACAATTCAACAAATCACAGAAGGTATTTTTGTTATATCATTAGTATAGAATACTTATCAACGCTATTTCCGGGATATTGTTTTAAGCAAAAAGCGACCATATTTGACTATAGTATTAAACCAAAATCAAATATACTCAACACATCGATTATTTTCGAATAATAACAAATATATTATGTATATTATAAAAAAAATGTATACCTCAACCTCATTATGATTTAGATTTAAACATATTACGTTCGTGGATAATACTAGCCCATTACGTAAACCTATTATACGAATTGGTAATATAAGGTGATAACATATTTATTACATGTCCCACCTTTACTTTGAGTGTCAAACAGATTTGTAGGGAATCATATGAATGTACTTAGCTACGCTTACGAATTGTATGTTAATTATTCATTACTTCCAAGAGCATCGGGAAATATACATTTGTAGTTACGAATGATATTAATTTTCTAAATGGGCAAAATTATAACCCTTCTCAGTGATTTGTTCTCATATTAAAATTTTAGTGGTCAATATCATGATTTTTTTTCATTGCAGCATGCGGGAAATTATAGTTATTAAGTAAAAAAAATTTCAAATTGCAGCGATAAATACTGTGGCACGAATTGGCTTTCTGTGTACTGTTTAATCAACACATACTGGCGTATAGCTTCTTTTTCGTTAGGAATACTTCACTAAAAGTCAAGAATGTGATTAATATGCACCACGGTTATTTTAAAATTTAATATATTTGAGAAACCTATGTAGCATGAATTGTATGTACACACATATATAGAAATTGCGATTATTAACGTCTCCCAAATTAATTTCTGGTGATGACACATAAGATGCAGTATGCCATGTATTAACAATTGAGTTTTGCTTTCATATCCATTATTAGATATGCAGGCCAGCGAAGTTCAAACAGAAAATCTGATATTCAGTTTTTTATCTTTGATTGCTTTGAACGCAGTGCTCATTGGTTTATTTTTTTCCTGGATAAAAAACACACAAGGTAAAGTAATATTAAACAAGAATAGTCAAAAACAGATAACGCAGCTAAAATATAAACCCCAATGAAAATAGTTATGAAGTACGCTACATGAGCGCCTTCATAGTCTTTGGAAGTGCATGAACCATGTGTCATGTTATCTGAACATGCTAATACCTTGAGTAATACTTTACGTTCTCATGCAAAATATTATAATATCCCATTATTTAGAACACAACCTGGAAATGGAAAAACGTCAGAATGCCATGGATTCGGAAGTACAGAAGCGATCGATGCGGCCAAAAAGACGGGTAAGAAGATATCGTCAAACATTTATTCAATTAACCATCGGTTTAAATGGTTTTGTTTTGTACAAAAACGTTACGTATACCTCCCCAACAAATGGTTTCCTGATACAAATTAATCAACGGCATTCGTTCGGGTTTTCAATTGTTTTATTTTTAAATTGCAGTATGAAAATGTTCGGTTAAAAAATAATACATACCAAGGTAGCATATGTGATGCGATATGTGAGAAAACTGGTCTATTTGACGGTCTAAATAATGTAGACAATGGAAATGATAATAATAATAATAATGAATTAACGAGTAACCGAACCTCAGTGTATGAAGCAAGTGGGATGATACATTATTCACGTAAGTTTCATAACAATAATTCCGTATTCAGTAACACAATGACGCGCCATGTATACGCTGTTTACAACGTACGCTTCTTTAAATGTTTATAATGAATAACGTCTATAATATTTTTTTTAGAGAAAAGACGGAAAATAACAAGTGATATTTCTGAAACGGAACACATGGAACAGGTGATTTTGATATATGTGCTAACCATTATCTTAAGTGCTACCATTGTATATAGTCAGCAGCAACATTTTATAATCATTGCTTTGTGTTTGATTTATTATTTACATGAATATTAAAAGCAGAAAATTGTGCAGTTAATATAATTGCATATTAACTGATCATTATGTTTGATTCATTTTGCCTGAAGTATTCAAGTGTTTGTTTTCAGCAAATACACGATAGACCTTTTATTTTTACGGAGTTGAACAATTCAATATATGGATCATTCAACAAAGAACGCGCATCCGATGCAAAGCAGCGCCCCCTAGAGAGTGTGCCAGTAAGCGCATGCAATGAGATGACACCATACTCACGTGAGTACTACCCGCAAAACTAATATTTGTTTTACTATGTAATAATTAACTTTACTTGAATCGCATCAATTTATTGCTCTCGAATTTCCGTTACTTTTTCTACAGAACAACCACTTGATGTTGATGTGCTTGGAGATGCGGCTTTAGTAACAATGAACACACTTCAGGATAAGGTACGTGAAAATAGGTAGTAGTTGTGAAAGAAATCAGTTTTGTTTGTGACATGTATGTGATATTATAGACAAGCTTATGACATAACGCAGTTTATTGTTCTAACGTCTTAGATAAGATTGCTCACACAAGTAAAACTATCCAGTGCACTGACTTTGACTACATATGTCAGATTCCGAAAATATGAGTCTATACTGCAATTTAAATGAAGTCGTTCTCACTATCAAAAACTACACGCATTTATAATTTATTCACATTCATTAGGCCGAGTGTAAAAAACCATACCAAATGTACCATGTATTCGATCGTTTACGGCACACTCCTTGGGAAGTAGATCGGACAAATATCGACATTCAAGAAGAAATTGGTAAAGGATCGTTTGGGCAAGTCGTGAAAGGTACTGTGTCAAACTTGCCGGGAAGAATTGGCCCAGTGCGGGTAGCAATAAAAATGTTGAAAAGTAAGTATGGCAAAGTAATCTACTTATATTTAATTGGGATAAGACGATATTTATGTTGGTTACAATCAGATGTAATTAAAGACAGGCAGACAGGCACAATCCCTTGATTTTCTGGGGCAAGTCTGTTACAAATTATATTATTGAAACTATTGTTTCACATAAGCAGCAACACTTTTCTTGATATACAGACATGTATACTATGTTGCCATATTATTTATCGGTTCCAGAGTCACCAAGTGTAACTGATCGAAGGGATATAATACTGGAGTTGACGTTGTTGAGCTCTATTGGACCACATCCTAATATTGTGTCACTACTTGGGTGGTGTACCGTTCAAGGTATTGTAAGTTGTTCTTGGTTTAATAAATAATACCAACTAATTAACTACTAAATTCAATAAACGATTGATCATTCTTGTGTATCACTTGGATTGTGAAGAAAAAATATTCCACAATTTATCGGCTAAGTCGATTTGGCGATACTATCCAATGTGCGTTTGAATTGCAAGATTTTATTACTTGGACGAATTGGCCTAGAACCTTTTGTGAATTACACCGTGTCCCAAAAGTTTCTTCACGTTGATTAGCAATCAATAAAACAAACATATGCTGCTAGAATCCAATAATTTAATATCCACTGTAGCCCTCTCTCATGTTAATAGCAGATTTGAGCCGCACAGGCATAGAGTGCTCCTAGTCCTTTAGAACCTAAGGCTCAAGTTTCTCCCATTCCCTTACTGTCCTTGTTTTCAGCTACTTCATGGACATAGGGGTCAGCTACTGGAGATTCTGTCATTCAGTATCCGCCAGCAGTTCTCAATTGGATTCAAGTCTGGAGAGTTTGGGGCCATTCTTCTTTGCGGAGAAGGCCAGGATGTTTCCGGGAACACCACTCCTGGCTCACATAGGCGGTATGAGCAGATGCACCATCCTGGATGAACCCCATGTCCGAGCGTTGTTTGTACATCTTCCGACCGGCGACGGGACCACTCCTCTTCTTTCTCCTCATGATGGGCACCAGTGTCGGTTCTAGTATATTCTGCAGGTAGTATTGAGCATTTACTATGGTCACCTGTGGCACTATGTGAAGCTCAGTCAGCCCATGGTCTGGGCACTCAATTTCACCTGCTCAGAAGGAGGTACTTTCCCAGGAATATCGGTGTAGACCGGGTCATTTTGACTGCTGGGCGTCAGAAACAAATACAAGGGCACTCGTCAGAGTAAAACCACTTATCCCAGTCCCCAGGGACAAGCTGGCATACTTCCTGACGAAAAACAGCTTCTTCACTTGATGGATCTCTGTCAGTCGTGATATTTTGTGCTTTTTTATGCCCTCAAACCAATTGTCTTGGTCAAATAGCGATGAATAGTGCTCTCATAACTTTTCTTGTCAATGTTTTTAGTTTGCCACCCAACCACCTGCATTATGTCGCCTTCTACCCTTGGCCTTCCTGATGATGTCCCTGGCTTTGGCATTGAGAACGTCAAGATCGGAGCTTATCTACAACGCCTGCACCTTGCTTGTGACACTTGGACCACTTCAAAACCCATCGTAAAGTTCTCCCCAAGGATGTGGCAACCTGCTTACAAGTTTTGTCCACACTACAAAGGGCAACGGCTTGGGTACAAAGCTGGGACTCAGAAAGTCTGTGATGTCCATATGTGACTTTACCCATGGTGTGGTCATGCGGGTATCTCTCAAGGCAGCCACTGTATGCAATCAGTCCACACATATGACCCAGATGAACGAACGGACTTTTTGGACACGGTGTAGTCTTCTGTCAGTCGATGGTTTTGCGCATCACAATTGACCTACTATTGGGCGACACGCTATATATTACACAGCATATAACAGATATAATGGCCGTTCCAAGTACCTTTAACCAACGTGATAATAGAACACAAGTTTTGAAACAGATAGACAGATAGGCACAGTAAACATTTTTGTGTCGAGTTTGTTTTCATAAATGTGACTGAAATATTCCCTCCTTTTTACAGAGCCAGTTTATTTATTACTTGAGTATATGGCGATGGGAAATTTATGGAAATTTTTGAAACACAGCAAAAAAGATGGTTATCCTGTCTACGAAAACATTTATGGAGAAACCAAGAATCTTAAACACAGTGACCTCATACGGTTCGCATATCAAGTCGCTATGGGCATGGCATATCTCGAACAGAAACAGGTTTGTTATTCATGTTAAAAAGATAAAATCACATTGCACAATGTTTAATATAATGTGTAGGTGACGGAAGCCTGCTGAAAACGTTTCATATTGATTACAAATTGATGTCAAGTTAGTTGCGACATTCATGCGGTAACGGACTGTTGAGTAAATGCATTTTGTATCACAAACGAGTACTCAAACGAGTATTGCAAAAAGAAAATAAAAGAATACAAGATTCACTGTGACATAAACACTTTGGCGTACATTAAATATTACCTTATTAATCAAACTTGTGATCTTCCCTTTCAGACATCGTGGAAATAATACGATAAAGTTATTGATACTGAGATACTGTTCACACAGTAACATTAAGAACAATTGCCAGTGATTACAATCGACATGTTAAGTTTGAATCATCACATATACATTAACAGCAACAACAGTGTCTCACTAATTGTCATACTAATTCCAGTGTATCCACAGAGATTTGGCGGCTCGGAATGTACTGCTAGACGGAGAGTATAATTGTAAAATTGCTGATTTTGGTTTGGCCCGCGACGTCGAAGTGTATCATGTCACGTTACAGGTACAACGTTCAATGTTACCGAAATAGATTTCTTCAAATTATTATAGATTTCTTATTTCGATTCATAAAATCATGTTGAAAAACATTTCGATATTTTGAGAGTTTGGTGAAATTGCCTCGACATGAATAACAATAGATTTTAGCCTGGCAGTTTCAGGTATAGATGTTGTTGATTCCTTGATGTATTATCAGTATTTGCTGTTATCATTGAACCAATTTTAAAGATCCCGCAAGTTTGTGTTCGACTGCTTACGTTGTCTTCATTTTTCCAGGACCGACTTCCTAGGAAATGGATGGCTATCGAATCATTATGCAGAGGGGTTTTTACAATCAAAAGTGACGTTTGGTCATTTGGAGTTCTTCTGTGGGAAATTGCAACACTAGGTAACATACAAGCACCGTATCAATTTTAATATCTTGCACAAACATGTTCCTTCATTCTATTTTCATTCATTTGTAATATTATTTCACCAAAGGTGCTACTCCCTACGCTGGAAACACGTCTGATGAGATATTAATATTCTTAGAACGTGGTAATCGATTACGTAAACCTAAGCACTGTGAACATGCACTGTGAGTAATATTAGTATCATAGTACTAACATCATTAGTTATCATAAGTAATACATTTTTATGAATCATTACATTGCGTTTGTGGTGCGCATTTACTTTTCCTTGTGTATGATGTCACTGTTCGAAGTATAAATTTTTACTATCTTCACGTCATGTTACTTTACAGTTAACTTGCAATATGATTGAAAGTAATACTCAGATACTTTATTTTGTAATGTATTTATCCTAACAGCCCTACTGTTTATCAACGACACAGAGTGTGTGATTTATGGTTTATGTTATGTAACATGTATCGACTATCACACTTCTCATTGTTTAACAAAATAAATTAAATCGCAGGTATGCTTTGATGAGGAAGTGTTGGTGTGAGGACCCATCAGCAAGACCGTCCTTTGAAAAGTTATCAATCTCAATCTGTCAAATGAAAGCAACTGAGAAGGTAAGTAACTTTATTTGACATTCAGTTCATTATAAATCAAATCTTGGTAAAACACTCGACCGTCTTTTCACATTTACAGTAACAAACTAATTGATTTACTTCCAGGTATACATCAACCTCAGGGAACTTTGCAAAGATGCTGAATGCATTCCAGTTCCAGTTCCACATCAAGATAATAATTTACAGGAATATGAACAGAATGGTTATCAAAGCATTCTTTAGATATTTAACGGATCCGCCTGTGAAAATGCACCTCGAATACGAAATTGTGATCGGTTCAAAGAGTTACATCCTTAAGACATAAGCGTTTTGCATTCTGGCAGACAATTTTCTGTGATATGTGTATTATATCTAAGTATCTAAAATACGGTATTATAGATATTCTGGATATATATTGTTTGCTAGTGTTTTTTTTTTCAATTGTTGTTGATTAATGATTATTATGGTTTACGTGTTTCAGGACAAAATTAATATTTTTAAGAAAAAAAATGATTTTAAACTCGGAAATGAACGTATTGTACAGTTACTTTGGTTCTCAGTTCAATTTATTTCATGTTAGTATTATCGTATCCAGCATCCCTGTCGTACACGTCTTTTTAGATTTACATATTTCGTCAACCATGCTTTCTTTAATATTGACACAACTTCTTAGATCACTTCCTATACATAACTGTAATCCACTTTCCCCAATTAAAAAAACACACATTACTCATTTAACCCTAAGTCTGTTCGTATAATCAAAAATAGTATCACGAAATTAAACACTTTTTCCAGTACATGTGGGTAATATTTTCTTGTATGTACATAATACTGATAGGCCACAACTTCTTCAAAAACTTGGGTTTCATTTTGCTTAAAAAGCTAAACAATTATATCATGTGTTGGTGACAGAGCGCATGAACTAATATTGTACATATTGTTCACCCGCCCCCAATCTCACAATATATTTGGCCTAGAGCAAAAGTGATCACAATGTCGACACCTAAGACAAGAGAAAGATTTCATTGCTAGGAGGTCGATATATTATTTTTGGCAAATATCAATTACGAATATCATAGTACTAATCCGAAAAGAAGAAAAGGCCCAAGAAGATATCAATTATGAATAAAATCACGTTAATAACTGCCACAAAACAGCGACACTACCCTTTGTTTTCCTCCTTATAAGAAAGCTTTCATCGTTAAACTAGCACCTTAAATTTGAATAGCCACACCACCTCAATATTGTTTTTTTTTCCCGCGGCGCTTTGCGAAGGTCTTTGAGAAAAAGTGCATCCAGAAACTTTTATAAAATTACAGTTAAGCCGTCATACCAAGTTAATTTATTGTTTTCAATACTCCTTATTGTATTCACGTACTCAGATGTTGGCTTATCGCAATAATTTTTTTTAACAGATTTTGGTAAAGTAAAAAATCTGATTAATATTAATATTCGTTTAGCATACAATGTCACACTGACTTGTAAAAATTGATTCTGTGTAGTAATAGAATTTTTGTTTCTACTCAACATTTGCTAATGATTATCGCAACCTGAACATGCTTCATTTATTTAATGTGACTTGTTTATTGTTACACAATACATGGTTTGCATAATTCGCCTACAAGTCTCATGTAACATTTGTTTTTACTTTTCACACTGTAAATCTAGGTGTTTTAAAATATGACACATACTTTAAAATCACTTTAAGTTTTTTTTCTAAAAATCGTAAATGAGTTATTTTACAACACTACTGTTTTAAAATAAGACATTTTTACTGTTTTGTGATAATACATTTAAAATGTTTATAAGCTTGTCTCCACTTTAAATACACTTAAAGTGTTTATATTCTGCATAATTGCGAGAAGTGTATATTATGAAAACACTTTTAGTGGAACATTCCCGAGATGTTTTTGCCCATAACACATTAGAAACACGTTTTTAAAAGTGTTTGCACCAGAAACATGTATATCAAGTGCTTATTATCACAACACTATTTTAAAGTGTTTTTACTAGAGACACATTCTGTAAAAAAAAATATCAGGAGCATGTATAAAACGTGTTTATAATCACAACACTTTTGAAAGTGCTTTTACTGGACACACATTTGTAAAGTGTTCCCACCAGGAACATGTATAAAAAGTGTTTATTATCACAACACTTTTAAAAGTGCTTTTACTGGACACACATTTGAAAAGTATTTATAATTACGACGCGTAGAAACATGTCTCAACCGAAGACATGTTTTAATGAAGTGATTTCACACACACACATTGAAAAGAGTTTCCACCAGAATTATGTTGTGAAAAAGTGTTTATCATCGTAAAACACAAACTTAATATTGACAATGGCTTGTAACAGAGACACATTTTTAAATGTGTTTACACTGTTAACATGGTAACAGATCATTAATATTATCATTTTGAAAACAAAATATACCAAATGATGTGTTTCATGATAAGGCATTTTGCACTATTGTACAGTAATCATGACAAACGATAAACAAATCACATAATAAAGTAAGAATGTATTCCTCAATATAAACATTAATAAGGTAAATTCGAGTTTTTAAAAAAAACATGTATAGTTGTTGTAAAAGATACTATCAATCTCGTGAATAAATGTGTTTACTGAAATTCAAACCCTTCGTGAAACTGTAGATACAATACCTCCATATTTGCGAAATTTGACACTTCAAAACAGATGAGTAATTAATTGAAACGAACAATAACATCTTTAAACCAGTTCAGTAGTAACCCATACTAACATGACAAATTTAATCCAAAACATTAGCAGTTTCATCTTGTTCGCTCCGATCGATTATCTTAAAATATGAAAAGTATGATATTATCAAAATACAGTGAGTGATGTTGAAATAATTATCATTATTGTTTCAAACAATGCGATATTTGAATCAGATATACGATGAAATTGTTATTGTTGTTATAAACTAAGGCGCATGTAATGAGAAGACAAAAAAAATGACCACAAACGAATTGAGCTGTAATTTCCTGTTAAATTTTGCAACATTTATTTGCTAACTCAGATCTTGATCTGATGAATGTCGGCATGGGCGTAATGTGGTATGGGATGCTCTGGTCCTGTAAATTCAAGAACTTGAGTTTAATCAGTTATCCCGCACATAATGAAATGAATGGAGGCCGCTGCAAATATAAACGTAGTACACAACTGTCGACACTGGCTTTATCAATTACAGTTTCCACATGCTTTGTAACGAAGTAACAATATTATCATACATTCAGATTTGTTTAGGATAACTTTCGGTTCCCTTCTTTCCTCAGAAAATAAAAAAAAGACCTCATTTGGTTCAAGTTGTTATTGCTTCTTCAACGAATATGCCACCTGTCTACACACTCCCGATAGCATAATTCAATAATGAATGAGCGTGCGCACGACACAAGTTACCAGTTACTTGAACACGCAACATACATTAATGTCAGTCGTCATTAACAAAATGTATTTCAAAATATTTGCAAAGATGTAGCAAACTAATTTATTGTTCAATATTTGTTTTCATATTGCATTTATTGTATTAATTAAATTTCTAAATATCAATTGAATGACTATGTATTATTAGAGGCTTAGAGGAGCTTGTTTAAATTAGGCGCAAATTTGCACAGGTGCGTGGCAATCACCATATTCGAATTCAACACCGAGGCTCCGCCAATAGAATAAGAGCTGTAAATAAATTGAATCTAATAGTTAGATCACAGAGAATTAATGCCTGCTTAGCGCAGCGTCGTCCAGCTTACCGACTCGAACATTGATAACAACACCGTGCATGTTTAATTCCATCGGTTATTAAACTTGTGCACGGTACATGGTATGCATGCTCGCAAAATACTAAAATCGGTAAATTTATCGCTAAATGCACAGTATAACATGCTGACAAATTTGACGTGTGTGAGCATTTTTTCCCAATAAATATGCTTCATACAGTCGATAATAAGTATTATGTCTATTATAGTTGCATACCGTAGACGACATGCACAAGTGTCCTGTATATAATCAGGTGTTTTAGGTTCAAACATTTAGACCATGGGGTGAGATGATTTTTAAGCTCGTCAGGTTCTCTGCATCGTGTGACTACCTGAAACTTATTTAGAAATGAAGATTTAGTTTATTGTATTTCCCAAACTGGGAAGTGGAGCATTATTTAGTATTTTACTGAAAAAAGTCATTGCTTTTATCCAATAAATCGTCTGCTTCTTATGTCGCTAAAACTATCGGCGCACTCGATTTGCCTATCCAACCGCCCAAATTACAGATTACCGCGCAGCAGCCAATCGGAAACATTGTATCATTCGGCGCGGCTTCAGTGTTGTCGTCGTATATCTCAAAACAGTGAACGTGAAACCATCATGTCCGTCTCTGGAAGTTCGCCTCATCGTAGGTGTTTTGTCCATTGTTCGGGCGTAATCGAAGATCTAAAGCCTTTCACAGAGAAACGATGGAGCACAGTTTTAAACAGCGTTAAAATTTGGAAAGATTTAGTGGGTTTTCAGGCCGATATCGCGAGAGATTTCGTGCAGGAATTCGGGTCTGCTGCCCTACCTGCCGATGGCGATGGCGATTGTTTAGCAATACCAGTACCGGAACATGGTGGATTTCACCCAACTTGCTGTCGTTATTTTACGGATTTATCAAAGCAAGAGCGAGGAAAACGAAACAAAGAGAAACAACAAAGAAATATTGGATTATGTCAGACAGGTATATTTTTGGCATGTATAGACAGAGTAATTTGTGAACTGCAGATATTAATGTTAAAGGAGCCCCAGTCCCACATATAGCAAACCGTGTGTTGTCCGATTAGACTTTTCTGTACTTTCACTCAAGTCTCAAGTCACTCTTTCTCATTAAAGGTATTGATTTTCGTCGGTCAGCCCACCTCATCCGTAGACAGATGCGATACGATAGCGGTGTCCGTTCGACGCATGTTAACGTGTGTGCCCATTGCAGACTATGAGCAAATGGTATACTGCGTAGCGTGCAATAAATTGCACATTTTATCAATATTCGACGTCAAAACGCATGATGACTTCCAACATAATGTTTAAACAATAATTGTGTATACCTTTTGCCTAACGTC